TTAGGGCTTTAGGGGTTTAGGGCTTATAAGGTTTAGGGGTTCCGGGCTCCAGGCATTTCAGCGCTTTAGGGTTCAGGGTTTAGGGTTTAGGGTTTAGGGCTTAGGGCTTAGGGTTTAGGGTTGAGGGTTTAGGTTGAGGGATGAGGGATTAGGGTTTAGGGCTTCGGGTTTAGGGTTGAGGGTTTAGATTGAGGGATGAGGGATTAGGGATTAGGGATTAGGGTTTAGGGTTTGGAGCGTGGGGGTCTTTTAAGGATGTGGGGTGTGGGGCCGGGGATTTCGAGTCTCGGGTGCAGGGAGGCCGGAACCCTGAAGCTTTAAACCACAAACCCTCAAGTAACCCCAAAGCTACAAGCCCTTAAACTTACACCTGCATCCGTCAATCCCAAGACCCTTCAAAGACCTAGGACCCAGCAGCCGATTGCTTCGGTTCTCGGCTTGGGCACAGGGCCTCCTACACACGGCCTATAGAACTTCGTCGCCTTAGATCAAACCATACAGGCCTGAAGCCCTGAAGCCCTTGAACCACAAAACCCCGGAGCCCTGAAACGCCTAAACCCCAAACCCCGCAAGGGAGACACAACTTCACCCTAAGCTTTCGAAACGAGCCTGAAAACCTATGTAAAGCATGAACCCTAAACCAAAATAACGGCTTCGCCTCGGCCGGTGCCATCCTCCACCAAAGCCTCCGCAAAGGCGCATCGAAGGCCCTGGGGCACGCAGTCTAGGGCACAAAGGGGCTTCAGGATTTCAATTCATCTTCAGGCTCAGGATATTGAGGGTTTAAGTTTGGGCTCAGGAGACTTCTCAAGCCATCACTCTTACCATCATCACTATCAGCAGCCTCACCACTACCGCCTCCAGCACCTTACTTGTGAAGCTCATCGGCTTGCAGAGGTTACCAGGTACAGGCTCTATTTGTGTGATGTAGAGGTCTCCATAACTAGAATGGGGTTTGGGGACATATTATACTAAAAATATCAGAAGGAAGCCTAGAATAGTATAGGCAATTATTTAGGCCCCCAATCATATTAGAATTGGTCTCGGCTTTTGGGGGTTACTGTAGGGTGAAGGAGTTTATGTGGGCTCTCGGGTCCCACCAGTTCGAACAGGCACCGCGTAGCAACCGGAATTCCGACGACGGGGGCGCCGCGAATTGTGACATTAGTTGCGAGACCATAGCAGCTGTGATTGTTCAACACGAAACAACATGGTCATGATGCGATGCGGTTTTGCCATATGCGACTGTGTGCATCAAGACATGTGCTTGTTTATCGTCATTCTGCTGGTACATTCGGAACAGCCCACAGGTCCATGAAGGCCTCGATGACAAAGTCTTTCTGGTGGGGAAGGACGAAGGCATGGAAGCATAGGCTCCTGAGAGAAAGAGGCTCCAGCTGAACTTCAGACGAGAATCGCCAGTCTTTAGACTGTAGGCCCTTTTTGGTTGGAACTTTAGGGTCTCTACTGTAATGGTGGAGATGCGAATTCCAAACCACACTGTCAGTTCGCCACAGATATTTCGCCCGTGTGAAATCGCACCCCCGAGCACCAGATTGCACACGGGTTCCTTCCGGTGGCGCGGGCTGCTACGGCCCGAGCCCAAAACCTTAAAACCGAAGCCAACACCCCAAAAACCGGACGAAGTAAATCTGAAAAACCCATCAAACCCAAGCCCCAAAGGCCTGAACCGCAAACCCCTAAGGCCAAAACCCGTAAACTCTGACTCTGAACCCCAAAAGCCGGATGTTGCATACAGTTTAGACTGGGGGCCTCACGAGGCGTTGGCAGCTGATGTTACGGCGCTCTGCAAGGTCACGATGAGACCATCAATCTGTGCCTGCAGCTCTACACCATCTCTAGTAGTTGCAACTGATAACACCAAATCACACTGAACCCTCAACTGTAAATCCCACCCTAAACCCAATACAATGGCCTTATGTCCCGAGTCCGGGCAAGCCCACAATTCGTCCTCTCAGGCTCGCCTGATCCTCTAAATGCAGCCAGTACATGGGGGAAGCGATTTGGGAACTTGCCGCAAAGTAGGGGCCGCATCGGCTACATTATCAGACGCCTCGGTGCTTGTTCATAGTCCCGTGCGTTTCCGAGCAGCAGTATGCTGAGCATATTGAAAGCTGCCTCGGTAAGGGCCGTCCAGCCTTCTGAGGCCCTTAGGATGCTGTTTCAGGCGTCCTACTAGCTCAAACCAAGAGCTTCGCATGTGAGTGGCTGTCAAAATTAGGGTCCTTCTTTGGGTCCTCATTATAATAGGGCACCTATCATTTAGGGTACCCCTAAAGGGACCATAATTTTGAACTACCCATGTGAGTGTTGAAGCCTTCGAACCCATAGTCCATACGTTTCTTCGACTAAACCGACTAAACACAACCCGTACGTAACCCTTATCCTGATGTCCTTCTGACTCCAAGCCCACAACCAAAGGCTCTCGTAAAACCTTTTAGCCTTCAGAATCTTTGGAATATCTGTAAAAACCTAATGCCCCCTCCTAAAACCCCGTATATACGAAGCCCGGTGAAAACTTTCGGGCCGTGACGAGGTCGGCAGACAGCGCCACATGAGCGAAGCCGTCGCTGTCGCTGACGCAGCCCAACATCGCCTGTGTATGTACATGATGTTTATTTCTCTATCTTTACATGTATGCCTTTTCCAGAAATCTGTCCATTTAGTTATAGCCGTCTTTGCTTCTTTCTTGTGGTGGGCTCACCGCACTGCCACGGTAATATCCAACAAATCTCCTAAGAGCTGACACGTTCAGTCAAAATCCCAGATCCTGTGCGAACTTGGATACGTTGCTTGAACTGATTTATTTTTTACATTAGCACCTTGATCTTGTGATGGCTGCGTGGGCTCAGATAGCTCTCAATCCATCACAGGTAAAACAAGAGCTCGTTTCGGTAAAGCTTGTCCTCGCCATCCACCACAGTGACAACCAGCTCGTGTGGGTTTTCATTCCCCCCCCCCTGAACTGATTTGAGCCGCTGCCACTTCACCACCACCACCACCACCAGCAGCAGAAGCACCATCTCAACCAGCTCAATCCATCAAAATTCCAGCGGTGGCTTGAAAACCTTGCGTCCGTTCGACCTACACGCATCACACCGTCACAAACGGTGGGGCATGCCAAGATACCAGCTAGATGACAGCGTCATGCCATCATTGCACTTTGGGTGTATGAATACGAAACTTCGAGACTAAGTCTGCTCTACAAGGACTCCAGATCAGGACGGGTAGTTTTTGGAGGCAGGGTGAGATGCAAGCTAAATGGCCAAGACTCAAGGTCTGAAGGTTTCAACTTGGAGCTCTGCCTCCTGCTTCTTGGGCAGAGGTTGCTCATCGACCTGCCAGAATCTTGGTCGAGGAGCAAAGCCACACACCAAAGCACACACTTTAAGCACACCGTGCGAGCTCCGGAGGCTCTCTACACAACGTCGGGCAGCGGTGTTTTGTCATTATCTTGCAAAGTGACAGGACATGCCATGATGCTGGTTTTTCGGGATGCAAGCTAGCAGCAGGATTGCTGCCGGCAATTCCTCGTTGGCCCTTTTTGCCTCCCGACAACTCCCACAAGCTCCTGTGAAGGGCTAGCTTTCGTGCAGCTCCTGCCTTCAGACCCCTCGATCCCAACAGCCGCTGCCACTTCAAGCCAACCTGATCTTGCAGATTATAGACTTGTAGGCGTAGGCCATAAGCTTCGAGCCAGGAAAACTCATCGAAGTGTAGGCTTTTAGCCAAAGTAAGAGTGGAGGGCTTACGCTTCAACCGAATAAGGGTTTCGGCGCTTTGCTTTTGTGAACTGGTTTGTGGTCATCGCTGCCGATGGTGACTAGTATGCTCAAAGGCTCCCAGGTGGCGGTCTGTTTTTCGATTGTGTGTTTGCATGTCTATTCAACTATGCAGAACCCGCAACCCTGGAACCTGAACACCAGGCCGTAGTCTGTAGCTCCCATAAGAAGAAGCCTGAGAGATGTGGGAGAACCTTCGGCGTCCTTCAGTCTGCAAAGGTATCGTAGCCACCATCGACATAGCATTATCGTCAGCATCAACATCAACTGCTCCGCTTACTCCAAACCTACGTTCGGTAAGAAGGCGCCTACCTGTATGCATGTGATACTGATTAGTATATACACACATACGCAAAAGTAGATGATTCTATGTATGGTGCCTGTAGTACGATATAACTGTATATATACATGATTGTATGTATGCATGCATGCATGATGTATATGTATATGCATATGCATATGCATATGCATATGTATATGTATGTGTGTATGTTTGAAGACCTGTACGGATGCATGTGCACACACAGACGCACACACACACACACACGTACACACACACACACACGCACGCATGCAAGCACGAACGGCCGGACGTGGCCGGACGGACGGATGCATGGATAGACGGACGACATACACATACATGGACCCCAGAGCGCAGCCCTTCCGAGCGTAGAGCCAGGCCTACAGACCAAGCCAGCGAGTGTCAGTACTTACATAAATATGTAAAGCATTCGGGCCTCAGGCCAAGGAACAAGATCATAGATACACTTAGACTCAGGACCGAGGAGCAACCTCATACAGCTCATCATCTCTATCATCCACGCCTATGAGACATACTAGGATTGTAATGTAAGGTTATAGGTGTAATAATAAGATATCACCTTCTGTATGATCCGTATGTAGACCTTGTCCACATATTCCTGGGTATGTTTGTAGATACGTGTGTCTGTGTGTTCATACAAATTGACACATCGCATGACAACGCATATGTGTTTGTGTATACATATATATATATATGGAACCATACATCTAAGCTTCGTGAATCTATGCGAATATATACCTATATACATATATTTATAGTTTCACAGGACATGTATGTCTAAATATGTTTAGCCTATGAATACCAAACATATATGATTAAAACAGAGTCTTTGAAAGCTACATTCTCAATGCCCTTGTTAGTTTATGTCTAACTACATATGTGTTATGATTTTAGATCTACAGTATATTTCCAAAACATGTACGATAGCGAGATATGCAATTTGATAGGGATAGCCCAACCATCGAATTGGCATCTATACACATGCGAATTCATTGAGCTTCAACGCTTAGAAAATTGAAGACTTTTGTGCTCTTGGGCGAAACACTCGTTTTTCTCGTGCATTTTACTGGGTGATTGAAACTTACATTCTCAGAAACAGTGTGTGCATTCCCCAAAAGATACATAAGCTCTGACACGAGATGTTAGGTGACAACTCCAACCGTTCAGATCACCACGGTTCAAAACTGTGGAGTGGATAGGCGGCACCCCCCCCCCCTCAATCCTATAAGGGACTGTCCTATGCCTTCGGAACCACAGCCTTGGCAGGACATGAATAAGAGCAAAAATGCGGGTGGCCAAATCTTCATCATTAGGGTTGAAGATGATGGAACCCAAACTGCACAGACATGGACAAGATCACAGCAATCAATGAAATACTTGACTCGGAAGACTGATACCTAAGAACTCAAAGGGAGGAGTGGTTCGAGAAACTGCGCTTTCCAATGCAAGTGGACATAGTGGAAGCCTTTCAAATATTGATGAAGTATGATGCATTCTTAATTTAACTATATAATAAATATATACATATATATATATATAGAATCTTAAACTAGGAAAAGTGAAGGAGATGATGCATCCCAAACACAAATACCACGACTAGGTTCCAACAATCCACCATATTGGACAAGTTGGGTGGCAAGCCCTAAAAAAAATCAAGGGAGATGATTGGATCCGGTCCGTCAACCCGAGGAAGGTAGCCGATTCCAAACCATGTTAAACCCTGATTAGGATACATTGGTGGCATGTCCAATATGTTNNCATCCTTGGTGGCAGATTGCGGATGAAAAACCCAGTAAATCCTATTGGGACAGGAGCACTTCAAACTCCAATAAGAAATGATATGTGGCAAAACCAGCAACTTAACAAGAACATGGTGGAGAGCCAAGACCTTAAAACCTGAATGTATGTGGCATGTCTGTCCCAACTTTCAAAGCAGAACTGATGTTAAATCAAAATCCTGAAAGATATAGTGGACACCAAGATCGAGAAATAGGTTGTAAAATCTGACATGTTGCTCAAGCGTACCTCCTGAGTCTAAAGAGAAATGAGAGGGGTGGCACACCCAAATACCCCGAGTAGGTAACTTGGTAACACAAAACCATATGTCTATTGCAAAATTGTGTTTATCAACTACCATTCAGCATATGTATTAGCTTGCAAGAGATTTTGTCATTGCGTTTGATTTTATTAAAGATAAGTCAAAATGCCTGAGAATCATGAAAGATATACTGAAAATCGCTTATTTCTCTCGAAAAACACGGGCCTGTATTCCGACGCACGCTCTATACATACATATATATATATATACAGACATACATACATATAGATAGTTGACGGATGGCTCAAAAGCACGGATTTCCGAAAGGAGCCCCTTGTCGAACAGACCTCGTGACAAACCCTTGCGCGCTCACATCTGGCTCATGTGCAATGTTGCAATAGGATATCGTCTTGTCACAAATTTGTCACGCCTGGGCCGCCGGGGCCCTGCTACAAGCCCGAAGGCATTAGCTTCCCCCTATATTATGTCTATATATATATATATATACTTATACAATTATGTGTGTATGAATATATATATATATATAATATGTATATGCATGCATGCATGCACTTATGTAGCACGATGCACATGGAGCTCTGGTGCTTTGGGGAGAGCTGGCCCTTGGGCCCCAGGCAGCTTCGGGAAGTGCCGGAGGTGGGAGCAAAGAGGGCGATGAGCTGCTGGCTGGTGCCTGGCACTTGGGGGTTTCCGAAAATAGGGGACCCTAAATAATAGGATCCCTAGTATAAGGACCCCGAAATAAGTAGGCACCCTAATTTTCTGAAACTCCCACTTCGGTGCTTTTGGATGTGTTTCAGGTGTAGGGCCAAGGGTTTAAGGTTTAGGATTAAGGTGGGGGTTTGCCCTTTCAGGCTTTAGGTTATGTACGTAGGCGTGGGTGAAGCGCTTGAGGCTTGGGTAGGAATGTTAAATATATGGGCCAGAATGGCTAGAACAAAGTTTTTCGGTATGCTGTACTACAGCCATGGTCAGGAACCCTAAGGAATACTACTCTTGCTATTGAGGCCGGTTTGAGTTGAGTTCAGGCTTTACGGTCGGTGGCGGAGCTGCCATATCCTGCCCAGTTAGGGTTCTAACCTGCTTTCAGATTCGACCAACCACTTCTCGCCGTATCTATTCTGAGGGCCAGAAACTTCAAACCAAATGAAACCCTACACCTCCGAAGCTCTACACCACACTGCTGCATGCTGCAGCCCAGAGCAGCGCAACTGTGTCTGACGGCAAGACTCAACTGTGCGTGGGAATGGAGTTGATCTTGAGCAGCTCAAGATCGAACCCCATGTTGATTCACTTGCTGGCCCGGAGCGCTGAGAGTACAATGCTAAGAAGGCCTTGAACAAAGCCCAATCGTAGTCGTCCCCCAACAACTCCGATTCGAGTTCTGCCACCCCAATCTCGAAACCACGGGCCCTGCGGATATGAACGGCATACTCAAAGCTGGCTTACTCCGCTGAATATCGACTAGCCATTGAGACCTTCGGGTCGAGGCCCCCTGTCGCGAAACATCTAAGCCTAAACCCTCCCGGGTTTTCTGCTGCAGTTGGAGTTTCGGGATGAGGGCCCAGGAGGGTTAGGGCTTCGGGAGTTAGGGCTTAGGGATGAGGGTCTTAGGGTTCAAGTCGTACACCGTACTATGTACCGGTCGCAGGATATTCCGGATTGAACCATCAGCCCCTTGACCCCTCAACCCTGGCACCTCCATGCCTAAATCAGGGCCCGCAACTCCCAAAACCCTAAACCCACAACCCTACACCCTAAACCCTAAACCCCACCCTCCAGGCCCGAATAGCCTAACCTCAGCAACCAAACCCAAAGGCCAAAGTTCCCAAGCCCGGAACCCTAAAGCCCTCACCCCCAAACCCCAAAGCCCCCAATAATCCCAAACTCGAAAAACCCCACCCACGAAAGCCTAACCCTAAAACCGTGCTTGAAATCTCGAGCCACGGAAACAGGCAAACCCTAAACCCCTAAACCCTAAACTTCCGAAGGGCTTCAAAGGCCTGCCTCCACGGACAACGCTCGGGCTTCCAAGCGGCCCAAGATCTGCCAAAAGGGCCAGACCTCTCTTCGGGTTTAGGTTAGCCTAAGTTTTAGGGATTCGGATTTTGGGCTTAGGGTTTGAGGTTTCAGTTTTGGTGATTCGGATTTGGGGTTTAGGGTTGAGGGTTGAGATCGGAGAGGGGGGGATGTTGGAATAGGGCAGGAGGGGGGCGGATTCAGGTTTGGTGTTGGGAGGGTTTTGTGTTTGGGATTTGTACGGGGTTTCTGGAGTGGGTTTTGCATGAGTCTTATCAGCGTTTATGGCCAAAAGGAGTTTAACCTTCACGGCTTCAGTGGCCCGAAGCTAGCGCATCGCATATTGAAGACCTGGCAGTTGCAAGTCGTGGGTGCATTCGGACGTGCGTGCGTGTGCGTTCTAGCCCCAGGAATAAGCAACATGTTTTGCCGGGCACGTTCTCAAGCGACGTGCTTCTCCATCTTCAGCCAACTGATCTTGTCTGTACAGTGGCAGCTGTCAGCACTACAGTGGCACGGCGGAAAGCTTGATGATGACTTTGCATAAACTGTGAAGCCCGACTTGGCATAGCACTTTCGGGCCGGTTCGTTTGTCTCCAGCACCGACAATTTCACCTTGGAGATGGAAGCACCCAAATCGCGAGCACGCTTCTCAGCAGCTTCGAGCAGGAGCCCGCCCAGTCCGTTTCCTTGATGAGGCCTGTCCACCTTGCAGTGAGCGATCGTCAAGGTCTTGTCTGCAAAAGATGCGTGGACGTACCCAGCCAGGGTTTTGGTCTGCGTAGAGACTGCTGGGAGAGTGAACGCAGATGGGCGAGAGCCACTGGCTAAGTGCTCAATCACTTTCAAATGTGCTTCCTCATCATCCGTGCGGACGTTGACAAGCTTAGCAGCTTGCTGTGTAGTCAAGTCCTTGTACCACTTCGTCTCTTGGTGAAGGTGGGCATGGTCGCCCGCGAACTC